AAAGTGCACTGGATTGTATTTTGTATGTTGTATAAAATGGCCCCAGCAGCACCCTGTAATATATGCATGTTCAGGTGAGTGCAGCCCTAGCTATCCTTGGTTTCATCATTTATATATATTTTTTTTAATGTCATTTTTTCTTTTCATATATACATATATAGAAAAGAAAAAGAAAAAAATTACATTAATAAATAATAACTTTTTAAATTATAATTCTTATTTGTTTTTTATGTAATTGTTTTCCTTTTCTTTTTAATTTTTTTTCCTTTCTTCAATGCAATTTTTTCTATTTATATATATAAAGGAAAGAAAAATAAAAAATGACAGAAAAGGAAAAAATTACATTAAAAAACAAATAAAAATTATAATAAAAAATGTAAAGGAAATGAAAATGAAAAAAATCACAGAACAAAAAGAAAAAATAAATATATATGCAAGTAAAAAAAATACATGAAATATAAATGAAAAGAAGAACACATATAATAATGGACAGGAAAGATCTATCATACAATTTGGATATAAAATGAAAAACCACAAAAGAGAGAGGGAGGGCTCATAAAAAAATCAGACCATGTCAAAATCTATTTTTAAACCCTCAGGTTGCATGGTCTTTAAAGTATAGATCCAAAAGCCCTCTCTCTGTCTTCATTTCTTAATAAGATCACCTCCCCTTTCACCCAGTGACACCCTCTCTCTATCAGCACATGATAAATTATTGTAACTAATGCTGGAGCAAAGATTACAACGAACAGGTACTGAATGTGTAATCAACTTTTTCTTTATGTTGTTGAGATGTTTTAAAAATCTTTTTTTTAGTTGTCTACTGGTTCTACCCAGGACTTATGACAAATCACGGCTTGAACTATCTTGCTTTGCATGTAATGCGTCTATCTCATATATTAGCTTCCCTTTTTACGTTGCATTACTGAAATAAATGAACTTTTGCACGGTATTCTAATTTTTCGAGTATCACCTGTAAATACTGTGCACCACACCCACAAGTGAATAAATAAATGATGTGGGCCATAGTGCCGGTTATATAGATAATGGTGAAATTTTATTTATCCGTTATCCATCATTACCATATACAAATTATAAACTGCACTCAGTTTTCGTATGGGAGAAAGCAGCCCTTAGTGCTCCAGTCTAATTATCTTTCAATTGTCATTTATTAATTGGGATTTTTCACATGCTCACCCTTTGCCCACATCCATATATTCACATACACAAACCCCTGCATTCATGCCCTCACATTGGTACTTCATCTACACACATGAAGGGATTCACACACATACATTGATATGACCTATATAAAGAGCCCTGTTCAATCACACAGTGACACTTGATGCAAAGTTAAAATGCTTGTTGTATATATTTATGTAGAGAACAACTTTGAGAACTGGCTATAAGGCTAAGACTTTGAATTCTGAGTCCTGCTGATGACCATCAGGCACAAAAACCTGGATACAATCATGACTCGGGGGTCATAACTCAGTGACAAGTTTGAGAACGGGGTGACTTTTGGGTACATAAAGAATACAACCATTAATTATATCTGTCACATGTAGTCTGCACTAATTAGGACCTGTTTATTATTAGTTAAAGTTTATAAGAATATACATGTCTTTGCTAATGACCCAGCTTAGGAATTTGAAGTCTGCAGCAGAACGTAGGTACAGCATTGCTCACTGTGTTATCAAATCAGTTACTGAGTGAACCTTTGGGATTTATAAAGTCCTGGTTCTCTGCCCTGCATATGTCAGGGGGATATCTGCTCTACTTTCTAGTAAATTCAATGGATATTATTGCTGCATTTTGCAAATTGCATAAAGTGGCCTTTGGTCACCATGCTCCATTCATCATTAACCTCAACATGGATATTCTTCCTGAAGACATTTATCCTGTTAAAGAACTGAGCAGGGTGCTGAAGTGAGGGCACAGCTGATTGCTTAACACTTCACTGGAAGTACTTTAATTTGCCAAACGGTACACTGATGTATATATAATTACCTCAAATTGAATGTGAACTATCTTTCCCTGCTTATTCCTGGTCATATTTAAAATGCTTCTCTGCAGTTCACAGGAGAAATATAATTTTCAGAAGTAGAACTTAATGTACTTTTCTTATTGCTTTGATTGTTAAAATAAATGCATATTTCTGTGGCATAAGATGTTCTTGTTGAATATTATCTTAAATTATATGAACTCTTTTGACATTAATAGATGCCACCATGCCACCTGATTAAGGCGACTTTAGGCAGCTGCCTAATGCTCAGTGGTTACACAGGGACCCCAAATCAGTTCACTTGACCCCATTCAGCATCCCTATGTAAATAATGAAAGGGGCCCAAACTTGTAATCTGCCCAGGTCCATGTGGAAACTTAATCCTCTACCTGCTACTCTGTCCATGAACACCAATGCTTATAACTTTAGCAATTTTTGAAAACATCTATTATTCTACTCCTAACCTTCTCATTCATTATCTCCATCCTTTCGCTGACTACACTCTCATACTCTTCTAATCACCCTCTCTGTCTCCTCTACCTCACACTGGGTCCCTTACTACTATCCCATGATCACTCCCTTGATGCCATTCTCATTCACTCTCCTTTCCCAAACTACCCTTGATATTTGTTGGGCCCTGAGCAAGAAATATTTGTGAGAACTTTTTTATACACTTGATCACATCTCTAGTTGGACAGCACTGATATAAGAGACACACAAAACATAAATCAACATTGGTGGTTTTTGTACAATGACTTGACAAGGATAAATATAGTATATCAAATACTGTACATACCAGCTGTCAGTTAAGAAAGATACTCCTCGAGGCTGAAATCTTGGGACTGACTTGTTATCCGGACCGGAGATACAAAATGTTTCCTTTATTTATTTGAAGGCTTTGGGGCATATTTTAGAATACAAAGGCACTGGGTGAGACTGCTGCAAAAGATATAATACCAACGCAGTATGTTTGCATTGGCATTTAACCCTGTGTTTCTTTATCCACTGTTTTGTCAAAATTTGATTCAGTAATAAGTTTCAATCGTATTTGTTTTCTATTTTCTTTTATTCTCTTATTGACATGTACTATTTTCATGTCAGTATAAATCTGACCTCCATCAAGGAACTTCAATATTACTGTGCATGTTTTGTGGAAAGTAGCAACTATCAAGTATCAACGTATTAGAATAAGATATGTGGGTTGACTGGGGAGAAGGTGTTGCCAATGGCAAGGATGTAGACAACAGAAAATCGACATGCACGAAGAGAGCCAACAGCCAATAAACATGAAGAATGGGAAACAACATGGAAGCCATCACTCCAGTACGAATGCATGGTTAAGGCTGTAGATTTGTGGGTTTCCAATTTGGATCTAAATGGAAATGTACAATAAAGGAACCGTAATATCAACATTTATGTGACTGTGTTCTTTATTCCATTTCAAACATACATGGTAAAGTTTCAGACTTTAACTTTCTTTGTCAGAGCTGTCAAAGAATGTTACACGCCAGAACATTGCCAGTCTTTGGGATGGAATTTAGACAAAAGACAAGAAATGTTTGTTTTGAGAAGTTCCTTTATTGTACATTTTCAATAAACATGGGAAGGCTAAACCAGTCGTAATTCAGACTCAGCCTACCCTCCAGAACTAACTGGAAAAGCTATATTATAAGTAGTGGTGAGACGGTGTTCTGTGATGGTATCGGTGATTGGATTTGCCCATTTTGCTTGAAATTGTAAACTAAGCTCTAAACAATAAAAAGCAGCAGGCATCATGCAAATACAAAAATATAGTTGCATGTTGTATTGTAGTAACAATTACTAAATAGCAACAACAAAAGAAAAAACAAATGGTGCTGTTGGCATACTGTCCTCCAAAAATAGGGGCAGTGGGACACCGTGCCTTGGTCACCTGGAACTGTTCTTCCCAAAAGCAGGGGATAATCCTAATAACATAATCACTCACAAGAAAGAGACAAGGGTTCTGAACAATCCAAGATCCTTTAAGGAGGAAGAAACAGTAGGAAAACTCTAACCATTATTTATTACTAGGGGTACTAAAAAAATGTCTCACATACCAAACATATGACTATGTACATTAAGTACCCAAGGGGAATGAGAATCCTTGGAAAGTATACAAAAGATAGCAACAAGCCACCAGTGAAACAAATATGAGTAATAAACAGGGCTGAAATTGTAAAGAATGGTATAAGGACCTATATAAATTACAGCTTTGCATAATGTAGGGGTGGACCGAAATATTTACCCCTATTGCCCCTCTATATGTTAAAAAAGACCACCAAAGGCTCGTATGAAAACTGTATGATACAAGCTTATAAATCACCATAGAACGAATAGGTGATATCAAAAAGATATGACAAAAAAATTCAAATCATATCATATCATAGTAAATAAAGAGCTGGTGGGTAGTAGAATACAAGAAGGGCCATGGGTCACGGGAGGGGAGGAGTGACCCGCTAGAGTGACATATGGACCAATACACTAGGGGACGGAGGGAAGAGAGAGACCGGGACGCAAGGAACATGGACTCACCCCCACCCCAGACACAAGAAGCCACGACCGGAGCCAGTAGCACCCGGCCCTGACCACGCCAACTAACAACTGGGGCTGCCGCAGGTAGCATACATAACCCCACACACACACCGAACCCAGCGAGACCCAAGATAAGAGATAACAACCTAGAATTAGGTATCCAGAAGAGTCACGGGGACCGTGTTACATGCCCCAGGGATGATATGATCACATCCACCACACAAGCGACTCAAACCAGGGGCCTGAGGTGACGACACGGCATCTGACACAGACCCCACACACCGCACAACGACAGAACAAGACATCACAGGATAACCCTACATATACTAGCTGCACCTACGGACAACCCAGGTCAACTACCCCCAGGGAAAACCTAAAACAGATCGACTCAGGGAAACTAGGGGGTAACTACACGGTCACAGGGGCAAAATAATTCGTCCCCTCATGATTTAAGGCTGAGCCCATCCACACCAGGCTCATTACGACCTAAACCAACACACAAATCAAACACGAATCAGACTGGACCCCCATACAAAGCCCCAGACGGTACCCCCCCAAAGAAGGACACACGTAGACAGACATAACACGGATTGAGACAAAGCTCTATATCCATCAACCTGGCACTAGAAGCACGAACAAAGCACCATGTACGAGGCTGGGGACAAAGATGAACTGCACCACACATAGATGGAGACTACCACACCTCTTAAGTACCATAGGTCACACTAGACCCAATAAGTAAGTGAGGGGAAACCTTGCACTGAGCCAACCTCTCTATTAGGGTCCTACCTACAAATGAGGAAGCTCAGATACCAATGCAGGGTTGTACAACCCCCCCTCTGACCCACGAGCACAACACAGAGCGGTTGAAACAACCCACCCGAAAACTCACACGAATCTTGAGGAGCAACCACAAACTCCATTCGCACCCGACCACAGAGGGGATTAACCCCATACAGGGCTAACGACAGAACACAACACAAAAGAACGCTCACTGTTATAATGAAGCCAAATACTCAAATACAATTTATTATCCAGTAGATGAAACTATCTTGATGCTGTAATACACATAACTGACCAGTTTATATGTTACCACATGTTAATTTATATTGGATATACATGCTGTGATTGAATATTGAAAAACTTAAATAAAGAATGTCAAAAAAAAAAAAAAGAATACAAGAAGGGAAAAAATCAAATAACAGGTCCTTAATTCAGTACACTGTCCCTAGATACCTCGGCACTGTAGGAGAACTACTAGTGCCTACCTAAACCAACTGGCCCTTTGGTAACTGAAAGTGCATTAAAACAAAAGAAAAAACAAGCTACTGAAAGTGAGTAGAAGACACACTGAGCTACAAAGGCCCGATGGGCTTTTTGGTGTCTGAACACGCCTAAACGTGTCATTGATCCTCCTGACGATATGTTCAGTTTATTATCCTACTGTTTCTTCTTGGATTTTTCAGGACCCTTGTCTCTTTTTTGGGACAATTACAAAATAGTGTCCTGATTTTAGATATAGTTATAGTAATAACAACGCACCCATATTTATTATGTCTTCATAATAATCACTTATTTAAAAAAAAAAACCTACCAAGATTTGAGCATGTAAGAATACCGCATATCAATGCTGAGGTCAAACCTGAGCAAGGTGGAGCCTGGACAGTGTCCCTTTCATGGTTTGTGAATTAAATGTAAAACGAAAGTTTTCCTTTAGTAAATAAGCATTTTGCTGTCAAATGTACAATATGTTTGCAGCATATAGTGTGATAAAACATATTAAATTAATTAATGCCAGCTAAATTGTAAGCTATATGAACTACAGGTGTAGGTTATATGTATAAGATTCAATGTTTCTTTAAAAATTATTATTAATATTATGACAAAAGTGGACTTATCATTTCTTTACACCCTCTTCAACCATGCTGTTTTCAATAACAGCATACACTAAGGTGGCATTGCTTGGGGGTTGAAGCGCCAAATTAAGGCATATAATAACGCCCTCCATGTAAATATTTTTGCACAGGGCTGAATCCAAAAGGCCCGAGGCTTCTGTATAAACATATACTAGTTAGGAAGTTCAGTGGCTCTTCGTTTGAGGGTTAAATAAGGCCAGTTTGCTTCATTGGTGCAATGGTGCTTTTTGTAAAAATGAAAGCCGTTAGAAAGTATTCATAATGACGTTTGTGATTGTACAGCAGACAGTCCCCTGATGGTAAGGTATAAAGAGTTACAAAAATGTTCTGTGGAACTGTAACTGTGCTATTGAAAACAGAGTCCGAATGAATGAGTTTTAATGATTCTCCCCCGTAATGAATATGGCACCATTAAAAATTTGACAAGTGAATGCACAGGAATGATGTGCAATATTTTGTAGTTGATGTTCTGAAAAGACACTAGTTAACTTTGAGTTATGATTGCTCAGTTCAATAGCAAAAGCGTTTGGTTCAATTTAATAATAAATGCTTATAAATTGCCCCAGCTGATTTTGTTACTGCAAATAGAAAATAAACTATCCTTCCTAATAGTTTTTTGTAAGTTCTATCACTATGTTAAAATATAGCCAATTCTACATACACTTCATAAATAGCTTTTTCGACATGGTTTTCTGCAAAAAGGGGAAAAAAGCAACCAAAAAGATATGAACGGCATTTAATAACATTTGTGAGCTGACCATTTCTTAAGTAGCATTCTACCCTGAAGCAGTGACTGACTCAAAGAGAATCTGCCAAAGAGAATATTTCATTAACCCTTTTTCTCATAAAGGCAGGTTAAGGCTAAAGGCAGAATAAATACATTAAAATTTTGACGGATTATCTCAAATAATATCAGTTGAATTGTCTACCGCAAACTAGAGAATAAACCTTTATAAAATAAACCTTCTTATACATTATTTCAACATAAATGCCAAGTTAAAGCAAAAGCGTCACTAAAAAAACACGCAAAAAACCTACAATTATATATATTCTATTATCCCTATTATTGCCACATTTTTTTTTTTAATTCTTTATTTTATTTTGTGCAACAAGATGTACAGACAAGCCTGTGGTGCCCCAACAGCAGTCACAGGCGCAATTAAGCAATGCTTTATCATGGTAGAATACAGTCGCACATTTTGGTGTTACAGGGTGTAAACGTATGGTCATTAACAATAGGTATGAGAATTTTTTTTTATTTTTTTTTTAATTTGTTTTTGAGTATGAGAAAATACCCAAAGAAATAATAGGATACCCAAACATTGCCCTTAAAACTGTGCTGCTGCATACCCTCCCAATATACACTGAAATTGGAGCAGTAGTCTCCAGGGGGCTCAGGTAATTTCTATGGTAGAGGTCTGTGGGTTTAAAAACTCAGACATCTGACCTACCCTTCGTTGTACACACCATGCCCGGACCTGGTGATCTCATAGTGATGGCACCTACAAACAGTCTTTGGTTACATGTCTTGGTAGCGACGCCGCGCATGGGTCATAGGCCCAGCTTATGCGAGTAAGGTGGCCCCCGTGGGCCAAATTTTTTTAAGAACTATGTGTAAAATAACATTTTTAATATACAATTCCACACCTCTTTATCCTGCAACTGAGTGTTAGCCTTCTGTCAATCAATCATGTTTAACTCCTTAAGGTCACATGACGGAAATTTTCAGTCGTGGTGGCATTTTGCTTCTGAAGCTGTGTCCTTAAAGGGTTAAACTCTTTCCTTTGCCCTTGGCAGTCCACAACCAGAAAGCATACAATTAGAAGAGATTAAACAATGTTTCTATCTCCCTCTTCATTTGTGATGTTTGTCCTGATTTTGCCTTGTCTGAACACTTATGATGTCATTTACTAAGTGTTTTATATTAATTTGGAAGAAAATGTAGAATCTCATTAAAAAAAATGTTAATACAAATTCTAGGTGGTTTTCATTGTTTTGTTCCATCGTTTAAATTCCAAAGAAGTGACATTTCCCCTTTAACTTTTGCCAGAGGGTAAAAAGTAACTTAACTTGAAGTTTAAGTTGTGAGAAACTTTGTAAGTATCAGATTATATATATATATACATATATATATATATATAGAAAGAGAGAGAGAGAAGCAGTCATCTTAATGTACGTCAAACGTATGAGTTTTATCACTAAAACAGGTATACAAATTAGGCGAGTTTATGTGTTAGTTCTCAACATTTCTTACAAAGCTAAAATTTGTGGAAGTTCTCCTGTTAAAGTTCCCATAATAGATGCTCTACTATTGCAACCAGAACTCATTTTTTGAGGCACTTATATCTTATATCTTACACTTAATATACATATATAATGTATACTAAAAACTCAACCACCTCTCCAAATTTCTTCTAGTAAAGTACTGCTGCTGTCTCTCATGTATCAACTCTTTCTGTCTCTACCCTACCTCCTGCTTCTGTCCGTATTCATGTTCCTTATGTTGTCCCTTTTGTCCCCTCTGTTTCTACAATTGTACCTCATTCTTTCCCCCTTTCTCCTGGTAAACCCTCCCTGTAAACATGCAGCAGTGGTTTTTTTATTTTCAAATCCTTACCCACCTCCTCCCCCCATTCCCGCTCCGTCTGCCTTGGCTGCCTTTTCCCAGGAAATCCTTTCCCTCTTTCCCCCCCTCCCTGACAATACATCTGCTTCAGACCTCTCTCATGTGTTTTGGACCACGAGCCTTTGGCACCCTCTGCTGCAGAGGCCCATGGAGCCTTACAGGTTCCTCCAGTGCCTTCCATGAATTCTGCAACAGTTGTCAGTAATGGCGCCAATGCGAGCACCAGAAGTGATGCCTGCATCACTTCTTCTTTGGGCTGAAACATGCCAGGCAATAATGGCTGTTCCTCCCTGCTCCTCCAGGCTTCCTAGAGGTAGAATATGATCATCTGGGACTGGTAGGGGGCAGATGAACTGGCACTCTCCATTGCAATATGCTGTAGAAGCCAGGACCTCACAGGCTCATAAGTTATTCTGGAATAAAGTAACTGAGGGCAATGCTGGTGGAGTTAATTGGGGACAAGTACTGCTGCCATTACTGGGTATGCCTTACCATTGTGTGATGCTATTTGGGTCATAGGCACTCTAAGTTTAGTGCTGTAGAATCTTCTGGGGGTCAGGGGTTCAAGGAAGGTATGGGGGGGCAGGTCAGCTGTGAGCACATTACACCCTCATGATTGCGCTCACTTTTGCAAACGCTGACACAGGTATGTTCATATGCATTTGAGGTTGCTCTGCTCAGGGCAGCTGTTGCCATGGCTCTTCATTGTGCTTTTCAAATTTCAGAGCTTGTGGCCCCTTCTCCGTCTGCCTTGGGCAAGGGAATTCAAGATTTGCATGTGTCTATAGCAAGGTGAATGAGTTTTCCGCCCCCTCCCCCTGACAGTCGCTGGTCTGGGGCGCTCGGCCACAGTTTCTTGATAGGATGGCCGTGCCAAAGATATCCCTTGCAGCCCTTTTGCCTCTGCTTGGGCGGATGCTTTGGATGCCCAACCGCAGCATAAGATTGAGTCACATCCTCTTGTGGGCTGAGGAGTGCAGTTAGTTCCTCTGCACCGCCACCCTAGTTAGTGGAGTTATTTTATATATTTTTACTATGGCTGTTCCGTTGAACAGGTTTCTTCCAGTCAGCTGTCTTGAATAATTTCTTGAATGGGGTGCTAACAAAGAGGGAAAGTAAGGCCAAAGGAGATTTTTTTATTTTAAATATATATTATTGGTAATTCTACAATGTCATTCACTAGAATTCAAAGTGGATTCATAGTGTATTTCAAATTTAAGGCAGAAGAAGTCAAACTGGAAGCATAGTTGACTTAGAGAATGTTTTTAGTTTGACTATTTTTACCTTGAATTTGAACTCCAATGTGGATTCACTTAAATTCTCATTTTAGTGACTAACCCTGCTTATGAAGAAAGGTGAATAAACTATGTGTAAAATTATTTACAAAAATGTTTATTTAAGTTTGACTGGTATCTTATGGGTCCAACAAATTAAAAAAAAAAAACCAAGGTATTTGCATGTCCACTATTTACAGTTTAACCCAAAACTAGTGTGAAAAAAATCAACCAGGTTTTCCAGTCTGGATTAAATTAGCAAAATAGATCATGAATTTATCAGACCTCACTGCAAAATATCTCAGGTATGCTTTGTATGCCCAGTGAATAGAAACATTGACACTTTTAGAAATAAATCCCCATTGCCTTAATTTGCCAAAAAAGTTATATTTTGTAGGAAAGAAGAACTGAAGCAAAGCTAATATACTAAATTGGTGTAAAACTAGTCTTTTTTTTAACAATCTGTGACATAAAACATTAAATGCAGTTTCCTAGCACTTAGAATGGCTTTGTTATACCTTTCTCTGCCATGGGAAGGACCTGATTGATGAACCATATCTCCTGGTTTTATTTCCAAAAGGTGAAAGGTAACATGTAACCCATTATCTATGTGTTTTTCCACAATGTGATAAACAGAATAAACAGGTTAGACTTGTGTCTCGGTCACTTCTTCTCACCATGTTTTGCAGCAACAATAACTGCACAGACGCAAGTCGCACTTTGAGGATTGGCATGTCAAAAGAACTCCATGTCTTTCTTTTTTTTATACATCAGCAGCATTGGGCCAAATATTAATCATGCCAGACATATTTGTTCATTGGGACAATTTAGTGTGGGTTTTATTAGCCATTTCCTGCAGTTGACTAATACCAAAGGAAATTCAGCATCTAGAAGATTTAGCCCCAGGCTAGAACAAGCTTTTAGGTCTTGAGTTTATTTTTACACAAACAAATAAATTGGTTGTTGAAAGAGGGAGAGAGTATGGTTGGATGGGCGGTTCAGACGCCATCCCTAAACAGGAAATGTGGTCTTAACATAGACATTGTTGCGTGCTACAGAGGAAGGGCAAATATGTCCTCTGAGCATTCGTAACAAGGACCATTTAATTAGACCTGTTTCGATTTATTTATTTTTTTGTTGTTTGGCATAGAGATGGAGGTTTGGTTAAACATTCCATAGGTTTTGATCAAGATAAACTATATCTCAGTCTTTTTTATTTTAATCCTAATTTAGACTTTGTATTCATAGCATGATGCAATGTAGAATTAATGCAGCCATTTTTCATGAACAAAATGAGATGCATATAATGAAGAAAATATAAAGTACTGAAATTGTGAAAATATGTATTATGTCCACTCCTGGTAGACACAACCCCAGAAGACCCGCCCAAATTGAGAGACTGAATGTTTTAGTTAGCCCATGCCAACTCACCAGGCATAAATTTATGGTTGTTGGCTATAATGGAGACCACACATTCTGATGATTGAATAATTCAGAGCACTGATTCTCAAGAAAGCACTAAGCAGTTAATGGTAAGCAAGCTGGAGCTGTGAGATAATTTACAACTCCCTAAAATGAGCAATAAGACTCGTAAATAAATGTACATACCGAATAAAATTTCCCACATAAACATCAAAGTAATGGAGATCCAGAACATAAAAACGACCACAGAAAGAAAAAGATTATGGTACGGTGTATTACATCGATAAAAAATAAATAAATAAATACACAAGGCCCATTTACAAACAATATTGCACAAATAAACAATTTGTAAAAAGCACCTTGCCAATAAAGGCCAATATGTCCCAGAGGCTGTTAGAGATGGGAGGGAAGTGAGAAGGGGTAGGTTACGAGGTCGTGAACTATATACAATAGTGATATGAGGGGCAGCAAGGAAGAGCAATGGGAGTAGGGTGGACAGAGGCTTATAAGCAGGGCAGCCTGGGGGGAGAAGGGGGCGGGGCTATGGGGGGTTTGTCATCACCAATGGCAAGCACGCCCCTTCTCAAAGTGAGCATGTTGGTTCAATGCTCTTCCAGGGCAGACCATGCACAGAGCTCTGCTGAAGAGCTCTAGCATGAGAAAAAGGCCCTGTATTTGTTCTGCGCAGCCCAAGTATTTTTATTAACATGCTTGCACTGTGTTTGCTTTAACTTGTCTCTGGTGTCTCCATAAATGGGATACCAGGAGACAAAAGGGCCAGGAAAGTGTATTGTGCATGTGTTTGGAGCCTGCTTGTGGGATTGCGTGTGTTTAGAGTGAGCTGATTGTGGTGTGATGTTGTGTATATATCGAACACATCTATACATATTTATTTGTTGTTTAAAATCTTCCACTTTAGTGCAACTACATTTAATTCTGACCATAGGCGTGCGCACGGGGTGTGCCGGGTGTGCCTGGGCACACCCTAATCCCCGCAGCACGCCTATGTATATTGAGACCGGCAGGGGAGATCTCAGGATCTCCCCTGTCGGCTCATGTAGAGCCGGCGCTATCCGCGCGCCGGCTCTGCTCTCAGCCTCCCTCCCCACAGACCCACAGGCAGGGAGGGAGGCAGGAGAGGACCCGGGGAGCTCTTGCCAGTAGCTCCACCGGGTTCCTCTCGCGGGATTCTGAGCGTTGCCGCGGTAACGCTCAGATCTCGCGAGAGTGAACTCTAGCCCCGCAGGCTAGAGTTCACTCTCCACTGGACCACCAGGGAAGGCAGGAGCAGAAATGATCCCCCCTCCCAGGCATAATGTAAGAAGGGAGGGGGGATATTAAGCAATCTGCCCCACCTCCACTGGACCACCAGGGATGGAAGCAGCAGAAAGGTTCCCCCCTCCCAGGCATAAGGTAGGAAGGGAGTGGGGATATTTACTAAATGGCCCCCACACAATACACACAATCACCCAAACATACAGCACAACACACAGCATCTACACACATACAGCACACAAACTCTTACACACACACACACTAACAGCACCCTCACACACAGCACACTCACACATAAACACTAACAGCACCCTTACACACATAGCACCCTTACACACACAGCACCCTTACATACACAGCAGCCTCACACATACACACACACAGCACCCTCACACACACACACACACACACACACACACACACACTAACAGCACCATCACACAGCACCCTTACACACACAGCACCCTCACACATACACACACACACAGCACCCTCACACACACACACACTAACAGCACCCTCACACATATAGCACCCTTACACACACAGCACCCTCACACATAAAACTAACAGCACCCCACACAGAGCACCCACACACAGCACCCCCACACATACACACACACAGCACCCCACACACACACACTAACAGCACCCCACACACACACATACTAACAGCACCCTCACACACATAGCACCCACACACACAGGACCCTCACACATACACACTCACACACACAGAGCACACACACACACAGCACCCTCACACACACACACACTAACAGCACCCTCACACACATAGCATCCTTACACACACAGCACCTTCACACATACACACTAACAGCACCCTTGCAAACAAAGCACCCTTACACACACAGCACCCTCACACATACACACTAACAGCACCCTTACACACACACACACTAACAGCACTCTCACACACACAGCACCCTTACACACACACACTAACAGCACCCTTACACACACAGCGCCTTCACACACACACACACAGCGCCCTTACACACACAGCGCCCTTACATACACAGCGCCTTCACACACACACACACAGCGCCCTTACACACACAGCGCCCTTACACACACAGTGCCTTCACACACACACACACAGTGCCCCCCCCCACACACACAGCAGTATATATATATATATATATATATATATATATATACACACACACACAGCGTGTGTGTTTGTGCTTTAGGGTGCACACCCTTATACAATAGACTGCACACACCTATGATTCTGACCTGTTAACCT